ATTACATATCACTATATCAAAAAGACAAACTAATTTACTAAGGAGCTAAAAGTCTCAGACTTTTGCATCTCCCGCCATTTAAAAGGAATAATAATAATAATAATAATAATAATAATAATAATAATAACTATAATAATGATAAAAATTCAATTCCGTTCCCCATCACCTGATGGTTTGATATTGATTGTTAGGTGTTAAACTTACCTTTGATGATGAACAATTGCTCAAAAGTCTTTAAGTGTTTGGTTTGCTTGAGAACACAAGGCCTCTTAAGTTACTAAAAGCTAGTTTTCACAAGCGACATAAGCGACGGAAGCATAAGCATAAGCATGAGCATAAGCATAGGTATAAGATCGTCGGTTATGTTCTAGTGAAAATGAATGTGACGGAAGCATAAGAAAAACAATAGAAAGCGATTGTTTATGCAAAAATCCAATATGTGCAGGGGACGACTGAGTACTAGAATTTGATTGGCTTACCACCTTGTGCTTCTGCATGTTAGCGACAGAAGCATAAGAATCTGGTTTTCACTAGCGACGTAAGGACGGAAGCAGAAGCATAAGAAAAAGGAAACCTTCCGTTCCTTCTGCTTATGCTTCCGTCGATGTTCTGCTTCATTTTCACAGGAACATAAGACGACTTACGCTTCTGCTTCTGCTTCCGTTTCTGCTTCCGTCGCTAGTGAAAACCAGGCTTAAGTTCCTTAGTGTTGGATTCTATCAAGGAATAGTGAATGGATGGTCTCTAGGAATACCAAGACATGTTAGAGTTGTTGTTCGTACGAAACAAACCGGCAGCTAAGAACAGCTTTGCCGGAATATCAACTAGTATAAACAACCCAAAGTTCTACCATATCGGTTTCTTATTGATTTTTCTCGTTTGCTAATAAATATCTTGCTGTTCTAGTTGTCATTACTAAGTTTCGTCTTGACTATTTTTTGTGAGGCAGATCTTTATTCGCTTAAATATTGACATCGAGTTTTACCATATCGGTTTCTTATTGACTTTTCTTGATCGCTAATTAATATCTTGCTGTTCTAGTTTTCATTACTAAGTTTCGTATTGACTATTTTTTTGATGCAGATCTTTATTCGCTTAAATAATGACATCGAGTTCTACCATATCGGTTTCTTATTGATTTTTCTCGTTTGCTAATAAATATCTTGCTGTTCTAGTTGTCATTACTAACTCCACTTTTAACGAAAAAGAGGTTCATATTAATCAGTGGTTATTTTCTCTTTGGACATCATCTTCGGGATATATTTTGCATCAGTGAGATGGGCATCGAATCAATCCAACATTTAAGTCAATCGGCTACATGACTACGAAGCGGTTTTAGCCGTCGCTTTGACCCGAATAACCAACTAAAACGGTGCATGCACGGAATCGAAGTATGGCGACCAAAAGCACGTTTGCATGATGGCGTCATTTGACTTCCACAACCAAAATGCTTGGCGAATTTTCTTTCTTATTCAAATTTGTATTCCCTCATGAGAATAGTAAGAGAATTGGAGCTAATTAAGGGAACAAAAGAAAGTGTGCAAAGCAGTCTGATAGTAGAGGTCAATGACGCCATCCTGCAAATGTCCTATTTACTTAACTATTGCCCTGCATTGATTAGCAACTGACAAGCCTCATGTTCACGTGAAAATGTAAGATCGTTGTCACATGTATGAGAGGCTAGTGAGCCGCTATAGTCAGTACTTTGATTCGGTGTATATCGTCATCAGATCACTCATAAATAGGTTCATTTTCTTATGCTGCTCGTTTTGATTAATAACTTATCGTTCTAGTATTTTAAATAAAGCTTGCACGTGCCACCAACATCTGGTGCCCGGGACCCCGGGATCTGGTGGCCCCTTATGTCGTGGTCCCACACGCATCTGGTGGCCCCTTTACCATTTATCAGTTAGACGACATAAAAGCGCGCGCCCATGGCGATATAGACGCACGAGAGAAAATATAAAGAACGATTAACAAGCGAAAGACTCTAGCTTGTTAAGAGTTCTTTATATTTTCTCAAGTGCGTCTATATCGCCATGGGCGAGCGCTTTTTTGTCGTCTAACTGATTTATAATATGACCAAAAATCTATCGTGCGACCCATGGGCAAATAGTTCATAGGCATTTCAGCCAATCAGAGGGCGCGTTATATCACCCATCTCGCTCGTGCGCGCGCTATTGACGCCATCGGGTTTGAAAATTTAGAGAAAAAAGGCGAGCGTCCGTTGAGATCAGCGTGCGCGAGCGTGCAGCCCATGGGGAAATAGTTCATTGGTTTTTGGCCAATCAGAGCGCGCGTAATAATCTAGTCATATTATAAAACGCCTTAACGAAGCATGCTGTGACATATTGCGTGACTTGCGAACAAAACATTATCGTCTTTCTTTGCATATAGTCATTACGATGAATGCTGTGGTAACAAAACTCGGTACGATGTGTGAGTTATCTGACCACGTGATATGGCGTGACGACATATACCACGTGACTCATAAATCAACATTATCATCGATGTTTGTGAATAATCATGGCTTAGTCAGTAGTCATGTGATCAAATGAATTAATACTTACTTTAACGAAACTCTATTATACATATAACTCTTTATATATACTTATTTCAATAAAGTTAGTCACCAAAAACCTAGAAAGCTGTGATCGCTGAGAATCATGGGAAATAATTAATATCTAACAAGGAAAGCTTTTGACAAAACTGCAGCAGTTGAGGGTGCTCAGAGGAGGTGAGACTGTAACAGATCTGGTAAAAGATCTCAAGTCTATCAACATTTATCAAGCGTTTGAAACATGTAAAATGTATCTATCCATAATGCTTGTCGGTCTCAGCTTTGTAGCTTTTCAGGTGACTAACTTTATTGAAATAAGTGTATACGTTTGGTGAGAGAAGGACAATTGAAGTTTTAAAATTGACATTTTCATTTGTATTCAACTTGAGAATACTCTTTCAAAAGTCTTTTCTGAGTCGTCGACAGCAAAAACGGTCAGGTAGGGCATCTTACTCTGGTTTTGTAGTCTGCGAGCTGTCCCTCTATCTCGGTTGGTAACTGATCAGACCTTATTCATCTTGGCGCAATGTTTACCCATTTCAGATTACTTGTCATTACCAAGAGTATCCGCATTATTTCTTTGTTTAATGGTTGCACATGGCAAGACATATGAATATGGATGCAAGCTCAAAAAAGAATTTTATTCTCTAGAGAATGACAAGTAGTCTGAAATGGGTAAACATTTGAGCCAAGATTTGACGAAAGTGAGAATTGGTAGTAAGTTTAATRTGCCCAGGGGAAGTGGTGTGATTACATTTCTCGGAAGGTTTCATGGCGTCCAATATATTTTATTCCCATGGCTTGGAATCGGTGTTATTTGTACGTAAGTCCCAGACAGGTCACCATCCAGGCTCAGAGAAGGTCCATATTGATATAAAAATACAAATCTTTAATTAACTTTTATCGAAATTGCAGATATGAAAACCAACAATTCCTAGGGTTGGGTGGATTTAAATCAAAGGCGTTTTCAAGACATTGTCGGCAAAGAGGACTCAAGGACAGGTGCAGTCTACGGAATGTCATGGAAACGCCTTTATTGACGCACACCAAAGCCTACTTCGTCGCGAAGGCAAAATGTATGATTTTTTTCCAACATCGTGTACAGTTATTTATTTTGAGATTTTTTTGCAGCCARCAAAAAACCAAATGATTAAAAATCGCATTTATTCAACCATAATTTAATTTTATTTTAAAATAATTATATTTATATCTTGGACAATTGTCAACAACTTAATTACCTTAACTTACACAAAACCGTTTATCAAGGCACTACAAGAACGCTTCGCTGCCAAAGCGAACAATTCTTTTCAAGTAAAACTATAATATAGACCCCTTTGAGCAGAGCGTTTTCCCAGTTCAGACTAATGGTCACATGCATTCTGGGATATTATTTCATTGAATAAGGTTTAGTCTCATGTTTAATCTTTCAGATTTCATAGAATGTCTATAGAATTTCTCTTTTCCAAGCCTCAAGGCTCAAGGGATTTATAGCTAGGGAATTAGCTTGAAGAAACATGATTTAAATCTTAAATTATTTACTAAGCAAAAAAAAAAAAAAAAAAAAAAAAAAAATCTCTA